AATTATTAAAGGAATGTGAATTTATTTAATAATTAAATAAATTATTAACAAGAGAGATACTAATTCAAATAAACTAAGAAATGTAAGTATGATTTAAATGACCTCGATGCATGAATCGATTTAATTACTAAAATGAGTTGCAAAGGTGATTGGAACGATTTTTGATGCAAAAAAACCAAAATAATTACCAACTAAAATTGAGAAACTAAATGTGAATTCCATACTAAAGTGGAATGAGACATGTAAGGTAACCCTAGTTATACTAGTTTTGTATTTTATATTCGCAAATGTTGCGGTAAGCAAGAGTTGTCACCGACTTTTCTTTTATCCAATAAAGGAAAGGGTGAAAAGAACAAAAAAGACCTTTTTTGAGAGTTTTTGAGTAAGGGGGTAGATTATGGTAAGGGAAGGTGTTAACACCCTTTGCATCCATAGTTATCTACGTGCTCTTAGATGCTAGCTCATGTTTTGAAAATTGCTTGTGCTTTGTGTGTTTTGAAAATTGTTTTGAAAATGCCTTAGTGTGGCAGTTCGCTTTGTGATAACTCTTGTATCAGTCCACAAGAGTGTTGACAAGGCGAATGTTTTTTAAAGTGTTTTTAAAAATATTTTGGTGTAGGTGCAAAATGTTGTTTTGAGCAAGCATCTAAGAACTTATCTACTTATACTCGAAAAGGTTTTTCTTTTCTCCCTATCCTTTAGACAGTGTTATCCTACTATTAGTGAGTAGGTAACCCTATCGTTGGATGTATGAGGGACAAGCGCGGGTCATCGTTATGGTCATAGAAGGCAACATATAGGGATACCTTAGCAGTTTGAAGGGACTGTCATCATATATTCGTAGGCAACATCGAGGGACAAGATCATTTCTCGTAGGCAACTCGAGGGACATTGAGGGACTATGGTCTTTATGATAACTTTAACCGAGGGTCTTTGCTAAGGATATCCCTACGTTCGAGGGACATGACCATTGTTTTTCCGAAGGCAACAAGTAAGGTTACCCTAGAGGTGCGAGTGTGCAAATGATTCATTTCGGTTATTTATCTTGAAATTAGGGTTTTTTATCGTTCATTTTTATCTTTCCATACAATCCTATTAATCTAAGCATTGCATAAAATATAGTAGCTGAAGGTAAAAGCGGAAATGTAAACCTAGGCTATTACAGAGCTTTGGGGCAGTTACATAATAGTGAAGAGTGCGGAAAAGAAATCCTAAAACTATTACATTCTGGAAGCAATTACATGATAATGATTAAAAAAACGGGAAAAATAAAGCTATGCTATTACAGTTGAAGCGCCCTATACACTTTATCTAGGAAAATAAAAATAAGATGAAAATAGCAAAGAAAATATTTTGGTGATTTTTTATGAAAAAAAAATGATTTATGATAATAAACCTAAAAAACCTAATTAATTTTAATTAATAAAAAATGTTAATTTTGAAAGAAAAAAAATTAAAATACCTAAAACCTAATTAATTTTAATAATAAAAAAAGGTTAATTTTGAAAAAAAAAGTTAATTAAAAAAAACCTAAAACCTAATTAATTTTAATTTAAAAAAATATTAATTTTGAAAAAAAAGGTTAATTAAAAAAATTTATGTTTAATGATTAACAAAAAAGGATTAAGTTTGCCAAAAAATAGATAGAGGAAGAAGCATCAATGGAAAATAAGGTTAGAAAATACAAATAATGCAAATGTCAGGATGGGTGTTGAACCAAAAATTAATTTAAAACCTAAAATTCAATTTTAAAAAACCTAAAATTAATTATTCGAGTTTATTATGAAAAATCAAAGGTTTGTGAAAAATGTTAGGTTTTATGAAAAATATTTTAAACAGAAAGAATGAAAATAGGTAAAAGGATAAATAGAATGGAAGAAAACCAAAACCAATAGGGGTGGGTGTTGAACCCACGCCCTTTAGCCTCCCCAGGATGCCTACCTTGTCATGAGTCATGCATTGGTTGTTGTTCTGTTTTGGCCTCAGCGTTTTATAATAAACCTGCATGAGACCATTAGATGGTCCAAACCTGTAGTGTTGAATCTCATGACCATATTAAACAAATTAGTATACCATGGAATACAAAGAAAATAAATATATGAAATTTTGTAATATCAAAACCGATATGGCATGTATGAATACTTCTACATCCTTTTGATCATGGAGATCAAACAAGCCTTACCCTTACCGGAGAATGACTTGTTTGTAGTGAGATGGAGGCTTGTAACAAGGATTTCAAGAATTCTAGTTCTTGAAAGAATTTGATATTTTGACAAGGTTGTGACAAAGGTTTTTGTGTGTGTCATGTTTGTGTAAAAAGAATGAGATTATATAATAGAAATTAGAGTAAGGATATGAGGTTTGAATGTGCAATTGAGCCTCCAATAACCACAAGCAATAGTGCAGATTTTTATTTACTTGAGTCTGACACGTTCCAGGATAAATCGCAGGGATTTAAGTGCAATTTCTGAAGTTGAATATGAAAACAAAATGTAGACAAACTTATTTTGGGCTCCAGTGTCAACTCTGAAACGTTCTTCATAAAAAACTGGTATTGATCAGAGCAGAACCCAGTCTCGACTTTGGAAGCAAAGTTGTAGATATCTGAGTCAGTGACCTTGTGTAAAAAGATGGGCCTGATCCGATAAAAATTCGAAGTTTCGACTCAGATGAAATAATATTCAGCATTAAGGATTTTCGGCGCATCACGCGCACTCTGGGTAATAAATGAAGGCCTTTTAGATACCGTTCGAACTCGATACCTCCTGTGAAAACGTATTTAACTCAATGTGTGAAATTTTGGCACCAGAACCAACTCGATACGATGAAAATCGACAAAGTTATGATTTTCTGAACATGACGCAAATAAACTTCTGTCACAAATTTTCTGTACGAAAATACTTGATAAATCCGCATTTTTGAAGACCTTCTGATCAAAATTGGTTTCCAGCCGTGAGAGATGAAAACGTAGATGACGTCAAGAAAGAATTTTGGCCACGGAACGGGTTCAAAATGAGCCACGATCTTCAAGTTATGAATTTTTTAGTGCGTAAAAACTGCACTTTCAGCACACTTTTTCACCATATTTCTTCGAGAAAAAATCGCACATTCGGAGACCTTCTTTAAAGAATTGGCTCTCGAGCCGAACCTGAATTTGAGAATATGTTATCAGGGATATCTTGGCGAAAGAACGCCTGAATATGACGCGACGGGTTGGACTTGTGAATCTTTGAACCCCGAATCATTGAGAAACAGCGAACCGATCTTCAGCACGGAAAATACTCTGAGAACATCCATTGGCGAAATAAACGTCACTTGTAACCTGATGAAGCTTGCTAAATATACCTTGATCCCATAACCATATGACCAATGATATGCGTGTATGTAATAATGAAATATAAGTCAAAAATATTGATATAAAGAGGGTAAATTTTGGGGTACAACAGTAGGTATGCAAATTTTCAGGATTACATTATTTTTCCTCTAGGTCATGATAAATACGTAAGACTAACCTCGTGTCGTTTATCCTCTAGGTCGTGATAAATGCATAAACTTTTCAATCATCTATCCTCAAGGTTGTGGTAGATGTGCGAATTATCAGGTTTATATTATTCATTCTCTAGGTCGTAATGAATACATAAGTCTATACTCGTGTCGTTTATCCTCTAGGTCGTGATAAACACACAAACTTTTCAAATATCTATCCTCTAGGTTGTGGTAGGTATGCGAATTGTCAGGTTTATATTATTCATTCTCTAGGTCGTAATGAATACATAAGTCTATCTTCGTGTCGTTTATCCTCTAGGTCGTGATAAACACAAACTTTTTCAATTATCTATCCTATATGTTGTGATAGATATGCGGATTTTCAGGGTTATACTATTCATCCTCTAGGTCGTGATGAATACATAAGCCTAACTCTGTCATTTAACCTCTAGGTCGTGATAAATGCACAGGTTCATCCTCGTATTATTTACTCTCTAAGTTTGACTGGACCGATTCCACTCTCTCTCACAGTTTTCTCCCACGATTTTTTCTCCATTCAATTGGATCTTGTGCCTATAAATAGAGTTTCTCGTTACATTTGTAACTCACTCCAGAATTCGCCATTCGAATTCTCTTTTCTCTCTCTCTGCCCTGCTTCATCTATATTTTTCTTTTCTGTTTTTTCCGACTAGAATATTTTCCAGATACTGTGACTGACTTAAAATACCATTTGAAGGTGTATCTCTTAGAACGGTTTATTACAGTGCAAGTAATAATCGTCTTTTATTGAACGAACTGTTTTATCCTGGAGACGCCGCCGAAACTCAACTACTTTACATATTTATTGGTAGTACGGCGAAACGTCTTAAAGAAAACGTACTGATCTGCGACTCGACCTGATAAATTTCTCAGTGGCAATTTTCTCAAAATCCAAAAACAATAGCTTATGATATCTACAAAATAATCTTACCTTTCATGACATTTATATTTTTAGTATGAGACTTACTTAATATTAATTAGACCATTTTAAATCTTAACTAATTAAACAATAATTTTAACACCTTAAATATTATATTTATGACTCAAAATTCTAAAATTCAAATTTCACACACACAAAGATTTTATTAGAAAGAATTTATTAATAATGTTGAGGTAATGTCAGTTTAAATGATATTTTTAAGACTCGTAATGTAAATTTCATTTTTTTTTTATTTTTTGACAAATTTTTTTTAACTAATTTTAATGATATAGTTCATAATAGTTTGTTGAAGTGTTTGTATGAGCTTCTAGGTAGCACATGAATATGAGCATGTTCCGATATACATAAATAAATTTGTAAAGTAAAGTGATACAACAAAATTTTATAAACAAATTAAGATATGGTAAACTTTTATTGATAACAAATTTACACTACACAACACGCATTTACACGCATCAAGTTCAATCCTTCTATTTCAACTTCCGAACTCTACTGCCAAAAACATAAATATATGGCTGAATTTTTATTTATTGTACTAAGAATTTGGACCCCATGTGCTCAAAAACATAACGGTTCTCAAAGACTCTTCTGCTTTCCTCTTCTTTTCATCAATAAGATTTTTTGGAATTTCTGAAGAAGGAGAAAAAGTAGGAGACAACTTATTGGAATGAGCCAAGGTTCTCATTTGATTTTTGGCATTTTGTGCTACTGATCTCATGATATTGTTGTTGATTTTGCAATAACCTTGATCCTTCAATGTTTCCACCAATCCAACACTAGTTGCAACAACCAAAGCTCCTCTTGTTGGACACATATTTAAAACTAATTTCACTGTATAATAATATCAATAGTTGAAACTTGAATTGAAGGTTTACTTTGAGAAGTGATGTTTATATAGATAGATTAAAGGACAGTGTTACATGCGATGTGAAGCTTTGTGTTTTTAATTTGTGTGGTTTTGTTGTTGTGATGAACAAAAGTACAAGTGGTTTGTCTGGATATGCACGTGGTTTTGCGATAAGCCCATAATATAGCTAAATTGGACCCGTAGTTTTGGGAGTGATACAATGTTTATTTTAATAACGACATAAATGATAATGATAGGGTGGAGGCAATATCTTAGAGGATAGGGCCAACTTTTTTTTTAACAGAATGGACACCTTAATAATTACAATACTTCTATACTTGAAAAATAGTGCAAAGAAAATAATATTGAAGATGAGAAAATGATATTCATCAACTTAATTATCATGTGGACCTATATTTATACCGGCAGAGTTATAAATGAAGTCTACTAAGATAGGAATTGTGGTTATAAAAACTAACTATACAAAGTCATAAGAAAAATGACTAACTAATATGTTAATAACCAAAATTTAGTTAATTATATTTAACATTTGTATTTGAGAAATCTATTTCGCGTTTCTAAATAAGGATCTTCTTCACTTTAAAAAATAAATAAGAGGATTATTATGATTTTTAATTGTATGAAATTGAACTATGTAAATATACGTCACCGATTTCAACAAGTGCATTTATTATACACAACAAAATATTATAGTTCTTCTTTTTTTTTTTTAAATGAAATGCTTTTTATCTCACACCAGTAAATTGTTGGAGCAAGATAATGAAGTTGTAGAAGAAGAATGAATAAGAATGATAACAAGACTACTGTTGTATATCAAAATAGAGAAGATAAAATTGAGTACAATATTGATAGTCTAGTATAACATATTTATACTAAATATTGAAAATGCCAAAAAGCCCTATTAAAGATAAGCATTGAGAATTGTAGACATTAACTAAATTATCTTTCTAATGCCATATCTTAATTTTGATATTTTATCAGAAGCTAACAATACTAATTCATCTCTCAAACAAAGAAATTGATTTGTCTTAACTGCCTTCATCAGAAGATCTGCTAGCTGTTTTTGAGTGTTGTAGTGCAGAACTTCTAACACTCCTTTCTGCACTTAACTTCTGAGAAAATGATACTTCGTCTCAATGTGCTTGCTTCTTCCATGCAGCACTGGATTCTTGACAAGATCAATTGCAGACTTATTATTAATCATCAACTTCAGAGGTTCCTCAACTTCAATCTTTAGATCATGCAAGAGATTCATAAGTCAAACAGTTTGACAAACAGCTACAGCACATGCGATATACTCAACTTCACATGTTGACATAGCCACGATAGGCTGTTTCTTGGAACTCCAGGAAATGGGACCTCCCAGAAATTTAAACAAGTATCCAGAAGTACTTCTCCTGTCCACTCTGTCTCCACACCAGTCAGAATCAGAATAACTTACTAATTCTGGTTCTGTCTTTCTTTCAGAAGGAAACAACACTCCATATTTCAGGGTTTCCTTGATATATCTCAGAATTCTGACAGCAGCTTGGAAATGAGACCATTTTGGATTACTCGTGAATTTGCTAACCAATCCAACTGCATAACAAATGTCAGGTCTAGTATTGCATAAATACCTTAGAGACACAACCAACTGTTTGAAGGTTGTAGTATCAACATAATCACCATCAGAGTCAGAATCCAATTTTTGATTGGTTTCTGATGGTGTCACAGTAACTTTACAATTTTGTGGCTTAAATCTCTTCAGAAGTTCAAGTTCGTACTTCAACTGATGCAGAATGATACCCTTCTTTGAGTACAAAATCTCTATCCCTAGGAAATATGTCATATTTCATAGATCTGTCATCTCGAACTCATTCATCAGAACTTCTTTGAACTTCTTTATATCTTTTGGGCAGCTTCCTGTTAGCAAAATATCATCAACATAGAGACACACCAGAATCATATTGTTATTAGAGTGTTGCACAAAGACACCATATTCCATCTTACATTTCTGAAACTTTTGCTTCTTGAAAAACTAATCAATTTTCAGGTTCCAAGCTCTGGGCGCTTGCTTCAGTTCATACAGAGCTTTATTCAACTTGTATACCATCCCTTCCTGATTCTTTTTCACAAATCCAGGAGGTTGTGACACATAAACTTCTTCCTGTAATGGACCATTCAGAAATGCAGACTTCACATCCAGATGCATTAAAGGCCAATTTCTATTTGCAGCTAAAGCAATCACCAGTCTGATTGTTTCATGCCTAGCTACATGCGCAAACACCTCAAAATAATCTAGCCCAGGTTTCTGAAGAAAACCTCTAGCTACTAGTCTAGCTTTGTGCTTGCCAATTGAACCATCTGGCTTAAGTTTTAACTTAAAAACCCATCTGACGCTGATGGCTTTTTTCTTATCTGGAAGTTTAATCAATTTCCACATTTTGTTCCTTTCTATTGCCTCAAGTTCTTCTTTCATGGCATTCAACCATTCTTTCTTCTTGAGAGCTTCTTTAATGCACACTGGTTCAAAATCTACTAACATGGCACACTAAACGACTTCTCCTTCAGAGTCAACTTCATTATCCTACAACATGTCGAAATCTGCAAACCTTCTTGGTTTTTGTATGATTCTCTGTGGTCTTTGAGCTTGTTTTGAAGCTGCACCAGAACTACTACCTTCAGAGTTTTCCCTTCCAGAACTATGATCACCACCAGATTTTGGATCATCATCAGCATCTGGATCAGAATCAGATCCATTGTCAGAATCTTTTTCTGACTCATCTTCAGAATCTTCATAATCAGATTCATCTTCTGAACTTTCTAAAACATCTTCAGAGGCTAACTCTGGTGTTGGCACTACACCAGAATCTGATTGAGACTTGTTCCAATCCCATGTTCCAGACTCGTTCACCACAACGTCTCTGCTGATTTCAACTTTATTAGTTTTTGGACAATAAAGCTTATATGCACCTGTACTGTGATACCCCACCAGCAACATTACTTTGCTTCTATCATCCAGTTTTTGTCTTCTAGCTTCTGGAACGTGTTTGTAACAGGCGGAGCCGAACACCTTCAGATGACTGGCACTCTGCTTATCTCCAGTACATTTTTCTAAAGGAACAACTTCCTTCATCTTCTTTGTTGGGCACCTATTCAAAATATATGTTGATGTGGCAACAACTTCTCCCCATAGCACGTGAGGTAGCTTTTTTTTTTCTTTCAGCATGCTTCTGGTCATATCAAGTAAAGTTTTGTTTCTTCTTTCAGCAAGACCGTTGTGTTGAGGAGTATATGGAGCAGTAACCTCATGTTCTATTCCATTATCCTCATAGAACTTCTGGAACTCTGTAGAGTTATACTCACCTCCACCATTCGTTCTTAGAATCTTCAACTTCTGACCACTCTGCTTCTCAACCTTCACTTTGAACTTCTGGAACTCAGTAAACACTTCATGCTTGAACTTGATGAGTGTTACCCATGTCATTCTTGTGAACTCATCCATAAAAGACACAAAATATTTGTTTCCTCCAAGTGAAGGTACTGGAAATGGTCTACACACATCAGAATGTACTACTCCCAGAGAATGCTTCGCTCTGGAGGCTGCTTCTGATGCAAATGGCAATCTGGGTTGCTTGACTTTCATGTATATCTCACATGACTTCTTAGGCTTCACAATCTTCGAAATACCATGTACAGGCTTCTTAGAACATAGATTCCCTAGGCTTTTATAGTTCAAATGTCCCAATCTCTTATGCCACAACTTACTGTCACCTTCAGCGCCTTATGCACTAAGACACGTTGCTTCAGTTGTTTCTACATTCACCTTGAAAGTTATGTTGCTTCCTTGTTCAGACTTTATAATCAACTTCTGATTGGAATCATACAACGTCAAGAGATTATTTTTCATAATAACTGAGAAACCTTTCTCAATCAGCTGACCCACGCTCATCAGATTGCTTCTAATATCAGGAACATACCAAATGTCTTTGATCAGAATGTCTTTCCTATTCTTAACTCTAACTTTGACATCTCCCATACCTTCTATATTAAGATACTTATCGTCAGCACATCTGATCTTCGTTCTCCTTCTGGAGTCAAAGTCTGTCATCCATTATTTGTTTCCAGTTAAGTGCTTTGAACAGCCAGTGTCCATATACCACCAATCTTCTGAGCATTTTCCATCGGAATCAGAAGCCATTAGTAGCACAGGTTCATCATCAGAGTTTCTCTTAGACATATACGCTTCTTCTGATTTCCTTTCCTTGTTTGACCTACAATCTCTGGCAAAATGGCCAAATTGTTTACAAGAGTAATATTGAACCTTCCTTTTGTCATACCTCTCCTTTCCTTTATGATATCTCTTATCATCAGAAGTTGAGGTTTATGACTTCTGGAATCTGTCACCATGTTTATTCTGCTTTTGGTCTTTCTTAATAAAAGAAGCCTTCAGAGCTTGCTCTGCTTCCCTTTCAAAAGTTCTCTCAGACAGACGTAACTCATGTGCTTCTAAACTGCTTTTTAATTCTTCTATTCTCATGGTTTCAAGATCTTTAGAATATTCAATAGAAACAACAATGTAATCAAACTGAGGAGTAAGCGACCTCAGAATCTTCTCTATGATTACCTGTTCAGATAGAGTTTGTCCACACGCCTTCATCTTGTTAGTGATCAGAATCACTCTGGAGATATATTCAGAAATTTTCTCATTGTTCTTCATGTTCAAGTTCTCATATTGCTTTCACAGGGATTGAAGCTTCACCTTCTTTACTGATTCGTCACATCCGTAATATCTCACCAGTAAATCCCATGCCCCTTTTGACATTGTTGAATTAATAATCTTCTCGAACACACTTTCATCTACACACTGATGGATATAGAACAGAGCTTTCTGGTCCCTCTTCCTCATAACCCTCTCAGTAGTTTTCTGTTCTTCAGTTGTATCTGCTGTAGCTGGTATATAACCA